ATATCATCGAATGTAGTCGTGCTAGCGCCAAGCTTCATTCATTATGTATTGGCTCCTTATCGACGGAGGTCCAGCCTGGACCTCTTCACTGTGAGAAAGGAATGCGTGGGAACAGAAATGCGCGCTCGTTACGGTAGTTGCCGCTAATGGAACATGTGGAGACTGAGGAGAGAATAAGGATGGAAAAGGAGAGGAAAGTGTAGAGATAGATAGAGAGAGAGAGAGAGGTAGGAAGGTATAAAAGATTGGGAGAAAAGAGTAGTGTTCAAAAAGTAGACATGTAGGTTTGATTATGGACGGAGGTGGAGAGAGCCTGATTAAGAAGAAAGATTAATATTGAACCAAAAAATAGTCAGTGGAATAAAAGTACGCCCCAGAGCTAAGGGAAATTTCTCAATAACAATACCTTTAACTATTCGCACCAGCCCAAATACGACTACAATCTCAACTTGCCTGCAAACTGGACCAACCCATCCCCAAAAGCACTCGAGCTGAGGGTATACAGGAGACTTGAAATGGGATAAACTCGAAAATACTGAACTCTAGCTTCATCTCTTGAAATCGAAACACTTTTAGGCCTCTGAAGAAGACGATTAGTCGAAACGTCAGGCCGTTGAATAAATAGTTCCACCTAAAAACCTCGTGCCCGTGAGGCCAAGCAATATAAGCACAAATTACGACTCTAGCCTTTGAAGGTGTGGCACCCACCCTCACTTAACGCGGACCTAAAAACCCAAATGCTACCCCACTCATTAGCGGCTAATAGAAACACACAGCCCCCATCCTAACCTACCGCCGAGAGAACAGGGATGGCACGGTGCACTGATGGGCGTAGGTAAAACTGATCTTCAGAAAAGGGACATGAAGGTGAAAAAAATATCTCTTATTTCTGGAAGCACCTGTACCTGCATGGTTTCAGAACCAAGTTCAAAAAAGCACGAACGTGAAAATATGAAGAAGAGCCAGAAAAAGCATCAAAAAGAGGTAAACATGATCCCAAGCGCTTACGGCTGTCTAGACTCCTCTGGCGGCTACAGCTGCTAAAGTCAGTCACACGCCCGCCCTGGCTGTCGATGAGAGCTGACCTGTTAATTATTACTTTAATGAATGCCGCCCCAGGTGGTTTATGTGAGCCCGATGAATGATTTCCACACAGTCATCTTGATCATTCTGCTGTCTCTCCTCTGCCTTATCTCTCACCTCCCTTTCACCACATGACGACCACCACCATACACAGATGTCACAATAGAACTTCATGAATTGTTAACGTAACTGGGCAGATTGATGGAACGACGCGGTGACGACGGCTATGGTGGTGGCCGTGTTTGAATCCACGAATGAATGAATAGTCGGGATTTGGCCGAGATTGGACGGACACAATGGCCGAGGGAATTGTGTAGAAGGTTTTCTCAGTTACCCGCTCTTGTTACCACTCTGGTTACTTCATCATCTAGGCCCCAGTGACATGTAGGCTAGCACGGTACGATATCGATCAGGGACGATTAGGGATCATATTTGGCTAGTAGTCGACTTTGGCTTTTACCGTTATTTTAGTATCAGACGGCGCTACACCTCTTCTAGCTGGCAATGTTGCAAAACTACGAAGTCTGGTAGCTGCTGGGGTGCCTGCCTGACGGTAAATAATCAGGAAAAACTGGCAGGAGCGTAGTTAGGTAGCTTGTGAGAGGGATCGGACAGGAGGAGGGAATCAGGGAGGGAGTCCTAATGACACAGCCGTTTCACCCATGTCGCTACTGTACCTTAGTGGGTAGACAGCTTATCTAAGAAGCTGACCGAATTGGTGACACGACATAGTGAAGATGCGTACTACAGAGATACTTAAATCGGAAATCCGAACGCTAGTGGCTTCTCCTAAAAGATTTTGTTCCACAAATTCTCAAGATTACGGTGCGTCAAATGGAACCAGTCCTCTTCAAGACCTGGAATATAAATAGAGCCTGTCTAGTGTAGCTAGACGTAGAAGTCGCGAAGTTGTTCCAAAGCCTGGACCCTTGTTCTTGAAAGTTTCCCAGATCAGGGACACAGCACCAGTGCTGGCGGACTAGTTTGGTTTGGCTCTAAAGCGCCCCATAAAGGTCTGGTACCATTCTTATCCCCTACTTTCACGTTATCTGATGCTAAAAAAAATCGAAACTGAAGGTGCAAACAAAGTCCCACCCGGACAAGGGTGTTTCCGGGACAAGGTCCTACCTGAATTTGGGGTTTTCCTTGGGTCTGTAAATACATGTATGAGTAAATAAATAAGTATGAGGGGCATATCATATAAAACTTATGTACAACTAATCTAGGGATGAAACATCAAAGGAACGCACTACCGATACGTATCTCAGCGCCGAAATATTACCCGAAACTACCAGAGGAGACCCTGAACAGAAGGCGCTCGCGACGACGAAATGACTGTGGCTGGACGAATGAGTGTGTGAGTGTGTATGTATGTGTTCTCGTCCGCTCTTGCTTTCGTCCAAACGATAGTGAATTATTCGTTCACCGAGAATAGACTATTGCTGGAGGCGTTCATATCCAATGATACGGGGGGCTCTAACCCAATGGCTGCCAATCGGCCATGGCTTTTTCTGAATGCGTGTGGCCACTGTCAATAGCTGACACTATCAGCTATTGTCTTCTGAAGCTAAGGGTCATCATCTAGGTGTGTGGGTCTGGAGCGCTCATGATGGCCTGCAAATGGTGAAACCAGTAAGTCTCTACAAAAAAGTATTTTTAATATCATTGCTGCGTTTCCCTATTCCACAACAACCGAGTTCAGCAATATGGTTTTTCCTCAACACAAGTCGAGGGTAACTTTGATTAATCAGCCGAAACGAACCGTACTGGTAACCGGCATCACTTGCCAGGCAGCAGTTCACCGGTCAGAGCCAATTTCGCCCGGGCCAAGAAAACCATCTCCCCTGAGCGTTGGATTAGTACCAGACGTGTGTGGAAGAACAAAAGCACAGACGTGTACGTGAACTGGTCCAGTAGATCATCGTACAGACGGGGTCGCCCTCAAATGCCGCTTCAATTCTGAAGTGAAGTGAATGCATGGCGCATCCGATAAGTTGATTAATCATCATTAGGCGAAGGCACTGCACCACTTTCCATCGCTTGAATTCATTTTCAAGATTGATACCGCCTATTTCCAGATAACAGTAATACTTCACATTTGTGATTCTCGCCAAAGGGTAAGGTACCCTCTCGCTTTCACCAGTAATACTCAAACCACCTTCTTCCTAAGCCCCTAAGAAGAGGTCCAGACCACGATCCAGTAATGGAATTTGTCACATTTCCTGCGTTACATATTTTCGCCGGAAACAAAATATTCCCGTTTTATGAGTGGCATTTATGAAACCTTTTGGTCCGAGGATAATCTACTCCAGGACTCTAAATTATGAGAGCCGAATACTCTGCGCTAATAAATAGTCATGGCAAACTGTATTGTTCATTGCTGCGTGCAATTTTTTTTGAAAAGTTGCATAGTGTTTTTGTTTGTGTTTTTTTATAATTACACATTATCTTCTTGGTCATATTATTAATTTTCTACCCTACTCCTCTTAGAACCCAGGTGACCTCGACCTTCTAACCTCTGATGCAATCGGATACACCTTGTTTTACCTGGCGATTAGCAGCACTACTATGTGCACACTTGTCTGTACAGCTGGCTTCTGACCTTTTTGCGGGTTACTGTATATTTCGAAT